GATGCACGACAATTCGACTTGAGTAACTCGAGAAGCTCCGGATCGTTTGAGAAGTGCTCTCCAGCAATTACGAGAAGATGCAATCGCCCGCGTAGTGCCGAGGTAAAAGTCTCTGAGGAGGGGGGAGGAGTAGTATGGCACAGACATCACAAACAGCGTTTGCTCATGATGGAAGGCCCATCGTATGATAGACCACACAAAGTTTCTGCAACCTCCGGACACTCAGAACCCAGAAACAAAATGAGGTAATGCTTTCGAATACAGGGTGCATCACAGTGAACAAATATATAGCTACAAAGACGCGTCATGATGTCCGCGAAGCTAGACGACCAGTAGAGTAAATATTAGCCACGTCGTTCGGTAAGGTAAACTGCACATGCTAACACAGTTGAAAGAGAATTCACTGCTACAAAAGTTCAGGTGCAATGTAGACAGCGACGCCTCATGTAAAAGCCACATGAGATGCTGATCATGATTAGTCGAGTTCCAGCTTCGATCGCAGAATCTTCAACTCGAAGCAACGTGGGCCGGGACACACGTGTCCTGACCAAAACGTCTCGAAATCTACGATCCGAACGGCAGAATTCTCTTGCAATAGAATATTGCGCGGCGAAAGGTCCTCGTGAACGATTCCGGCCTTGTGTAACTCGGCGACTTGATGGTAGATTGCCTCTCTGAGAAAGTTGTCAACAAACAGCAGTCATTCGCATGATGATAGCATACCGGGTCGTCAAATCGAGATCATAATCCGTCAACGCAGTGCCGCAGTACTCCAGAACTAGGACAGTCGTGCCGGTACTATCTTCGTACAGCCCAAAGCAACGTGGTCCAATGCCTGGGTGCTGATGCAAAATCTTGTATGCATCCAGCTCCTGCCTGAGCTTGAGACCGCTGGGCTCATCAACTGCAGTCTTCAGCGCTACCTCTATCGTCTCTCCTCCAAGTGACTCGACAAGAGCGTGGCCACCCCAAACTTGACTATAACGGCCGACAGCTGTTTGTTTGTTCAGGAAGATGCCAGCGCGAGGCGTCAATGGTAAGACTGCGCATCCTATACTGGCCGTGCCAGACTGACGTTCAGGGGATTGAACAGGTTCAATACCCAGCAATGTTGGACGGTCTTCGGGTACCTCCTTTACCGAATCCTGGTGTTCTATGGCACCGAAAGAGACAGGGGCTTCATCCGAATCCGTGGCGTGGGTGATGCCTGTGTAAGTTGAACTACTGGTAGATGCAGAAATTTCATCGGTACCAACAGAATGAATGGGCACGAGATGTGTGAAGCCTGTTGAGCATAGGCCATCTCCGTAGAACGCCAGGTCGATGCCTTCGAAAGCATTCTGCCAGAAAGTGAGACAAGCGGCCACAAATAGCAGATCATAACGCACGTACCAATTTCCATGACGCGGATTCGTCATCTTGATCGCAATTCTTCCCCGCTTGCTGCCGTTCCGTACGCTTCTGTTGCTCTCTGTAATCGCCATCTTGGTTGTGACGGTTATCGCGGCCATCATTGTCATCCCTACTACCATAGCTATCTTCATCTGCACCGCCGTCGCCCTTTTTATCTGCATCTTTCTGGTCGTTGTCGTGACCTTCACTATCGCTGTACTCGTTCTCGCTGTCTGTGTCATCTCTTCGCCTCTTTTGCTTCGGCTTCTCCGTATCAGAGTCGTCGTGCCTATGTTTCTTTTGCCTGCCTTTGGCGACCGTTAGGAACGGATCTTGCCAGGGCTCGCCGCCATCTGCCGAAGATCGCTTCACTGCGTCTTCAATTGCCATGATGAAAAGGCCAGTCAGGTTTTCAAGGTACGCTTTCGCGTTGGAAGCCAGGAGGAACATGTCCGACAAGACAGCGACCTGCTCCTCTCGATGACATTGAAGTACTGAAGACATAACTCCAGACGTGAGAAGCTCGTAGGTGCCGTTATGCGTCACCAAGCGCGACCACATCTGATGTCAAGTTCAGTATGTACGATGGAAGGAGGAAAATGAATCTCAGCCAAATATTTACTTGAATATACGTTTCCCAAGCGCTTGACACGAACGCCTCTGCATCGTCCAGCAACGACTGGTCAGTCAGGCCGAGCGACGGACAAACGTCACGTATGGATGACTTGAGTTTGGCTAGCAGCTTGATATCCTTCGTGGCAGCCGTCGGAGGTACCTTGATCGCTTCCGTACCTTCCTTTGCACCAATGTTCTTCGAATGCTTCTTCTTTCGTTTCACGCCTGAACAGTAAACTTGATCAAACATGTCGATCTGCTCTGCAACGCGTTGGAAGGCTGCACGTGATTGTTCTTCTGATGGGAGTGCTACATTCGAGGGACTGTCTTGCGGCATAGGTCGGTTCGCCAGAAAAGTCGCAAAGTGATCGTGACAGAATTTGTATGGCTCGCACTCGTCACAGTCAATGCTGCACCAGGGGAACAATTCTCCACTCCGAGCTAGAACCGCGATCATGGCGATCATAGACAGGTATACTCTCGGGTTTCCGGCAAGCACATTCTTGTATTCGATGGCCAAGAGAGGACCTAGTCCTCGATATTTGTCCGGAACGAGAGGTTCTGATGTTCCGCCGGGAGCCACGAATTGGACAATTGCATCGACCCTTTCTGCTTTCCGGGTAGATGAAACGATGTCGAGAATCGGAACAAACCTGCCTTCCTCCAGATAGGTAGAGTTGCAAAGCATGCCTGATATCAGCGTGAAAAGACCGTCGAATAGTTTTGCCATAGCGTGAACCACGTCCGCCTCGTTACTGAGCGGGAATAAGAAGGCAGTCAAGACGGCACGGGTGATGATAAAGATAAAGGATCTCGATGGTTCTTCGTCTCGTGCCAGGAACCTGACGAAAGTGTCATTCGATCTGGCGAGCCCGAGAATTGCTTCATGAAATGATGCTAGCATCCCCTCATCGAGCCCTAGCTTCTTTATACGCATATGCGCAGGTAGATGCCTATCATAGATGGTAGGCGATCGAGTGCCCCGGGAGTGTGTATGTTCCGGAGACAGCGCGAAGCCCCCCTTTGGAATCTCTGCCATCTTTTCGAATGTGGAGTCGATGATTTCCTCCGCTTTCAGAGGGGAGGAGCCGCCAGATAAAGAAGACATGTTGAACAAGCAGGAGGACAGGAGGTGCGTTCAGGCTTTGAGACAGTGTCACAAGGAGTCACAGAATCACAGGGAGTCACACCAAAAGTCACGGATCGTGCGGACTTATATATCGGGACTTATAAATCGGGGAGAGACGGGCGTTAGTTATGCGCGAAAAAAGTCAAGGTAAAAGAAAAGGAATGCACGAACCTGTTGGTGTCAGGGACGACCGGGTAGAGGTAGCAGCCGGGCAAGGCCTTCTTGATGTGCGGCTCGAGTTCATACCATGCGGTACCGAAGGTGATGTCGATCTCATCGGTCGAGCCGCCACCACCGGTGAGCACGGCGACGATACGGCCTCCTCTGTCAAGGATGATGGCGCCAGAGTCGCCTTTGTCGGAGAAGGCGCCACGCCCGCCGTAGGGCACGATGGTAGTCTCGAGGGCAGTAAACTCGAGGTCATAGTCGTCGTGGTAACGAACAAGGGATTTGAGTCCGTTGACCCAGCCGACGGTAGTGCCCGTGGTCAAGCTGTTCTTGATGACCGGCATCGCTTTGTCACCGTGGACGTTAAGCTGCTTGGGCTGGCGAATCTCGCTCTCGGGTACGAAGCCGTAGATCTGGAGGAGCCCATCCTGCGGGTACTTGTAGTCAGCCCGGTCCGAGTAGTTGGGGTACATGAGGTCGCGGTATTCACCCTCCTTGATCTTGTCCCCTGTGTGATTATTAATGAGTTATTACTCAACCTTGGACTGAAACTGCGGGACGAGGCGAGATGGTAAACGTACCGATATAGATTTGATTTCCCTTGAATTCGTCCCAGTCGAAAGCGTCCCAGTTGAGCTGGATGACGGCCCAGTCGATCGTATATCCGTCGGGTCCATCGGAGACGCCAATGGGGTCGGCGTGGAGGACGAAGCCAATGGGTCGCTGCTTCGGGTTCGTCATGAGCTTCGTAACCTCGCTGTGAAGGCTGTCCAGTTGTACGATATTCCTCGTCGTCCTAACCACATCCTGCTGGGCCTCCAGGAGCGCCGCGGCGACCGCCACGGCGTCTCCCCTGCCTTCCTCCTGCTGCGGTTGCAGCCTACTGATCTTCTTCTCCGACGAAGCGTTGATTTCGTGGAGGGTGCCGATCCTAGACATAATATTGGTGGTGGCGTCCTCGTAGGCCTTGCCACCAAGGGAGATGATCTCCTCGCGACGCCGGATGCTATTTGTCTGCGATAAGCCCGTGTTGGGGTACACGGGGGGAGGGCGAGCGACATGGGCAGCCGTGAGAGCGAGGACGTCGTCGCTGTCACTGCTGCGGCGGAGATAAAGGCCTACGGTGCCCTCAAAGTAGGGCGTCTTGAGCGGCGCTACGTAGAGGCCAAGGGTGGATGCAAAAGGATGACGGAACTCGGCAACGGGGTCGACGAGGGGATCGAGGGACGGGAGCTTGGGGCCACGACCCGACAGGCTCGTCGTCCACTCGCGGACAGCAACGTCGATGTCGGGGAAGCCGGCCTGGCTAAGGATAGTACCCTTGACATAGTCAGCAGCGGTCTTGGCCTCCTCAAAGGCGAGAGAGTTGGGCGGCACGCCGATGGTAACCAGGAGCGGGCAAAACGCCGTCGTCTCTCCCGTGTTGGCGAAGCCGAAGCCTGTGATTGCGGTGACCTTGACGCTGAGCTGAGAGTTGAGGTATGCCTCGGCATGCCTGAGGAACTTGGGCCAGAAGGGCGTGATGGGGTGGTTATACACTGGGCGCGTCTCGCGGATGAAAGGCTGCGCTTCGGGACCGCCCACGCGTTTAGGCCAGGGCTGACCCGTCTTGTAAACGAATGGAGCCCCGCTGACCGTGCCGTAAGTGTCCGTGAAGGCGTCAGGGTAGTGGTCGGTGAGACGCGACCGAGCAGAATTGACATCGAGCTTGTCGAACTTGAAAGGTATCACAGTTTGCTTAGCAATATCTACGCAATGCTCGAGGAAAATAGGATTGATGTTGCCGATGTTACCAAGCGACGACACTGGGAAGGAACTGTCAGCAACGAGGACATATTAAAAAAAACTAAAGGGCTAACTTGTAACAGTTCTGTAGACGATTGAACTAGCTGAGAAAAGAGAAGAATCCGTTTAGAGGCAGCCTAGAGGCAGAGTCGACTGAGGATTCAGGCTCCTCCCCATCTCGCTTGCGGGAGGGTACAAGAAGCCACATCCTAGATCGATCATCCATGTGTCCGATCATGATACGATCACTTATTTCAAAATTCCCACTGGAGTGGGGGGACAAATAAGAGTGCGGAGTTTGATGTTGGCGGAGTCTGCAATTGTGGCTGAAATGTGGCTGAGGATGGCGACATGAAGCACGATGTCCCACCCCTACCCGTTTTGGAAGCGCAGCTGGGTCAAACTCCCCAAGTCCCATCGGACCTGCCCTAAGGGTTGAGGCCCCCCAAACTCCCAAAAGTGACATGGGGAGGAGCCTGCTGTGGATTGTTCTGTGGGGTTTTCACCAATGAAACAGCTAATTTAATTCAAAATATAACCAGCATTGAAACACACGGGAAATATCTGAATGGCATTTCAGCAATATTCAAAGTCATCAATCCGATGAAAACATAAGTCACATCATTGTGACTGTCATCACGGTGCGTTTCCGATGGAATCACAGGCCGATGCCCCCGGTGGCTCACAGCTGCTACTAATTGTCTGCGCGCGTTCTCCAATCTGCCTTACTGCTCGCGAGACGAACTGGCTAGTTCTCTGATATCAAACGATGCTGCGGAAATCAGGGTACCGTGGAGCTTGGGGCCGACAGGCTCAGGGTTCACATGCTGACGTGCCCAGCTCAATTCACGGTGCCTGTGCGCAGCCAACAATTGACCGTCATCGTCTGAAGACTCGAGTATCACCATCAAAGCTATCGACGGTGATCCGAATGCAGCTCGGACAGCACGAGTGAGGTGATGAAGGTAGGCGGGAATGCAAGGGCCGGACTTGTGGCAGGATTTCTTCGAAGCGACATGCACGAGGTGGCACCGCAGACATGAAGCGTTTTGCACACGTGGCAAATGCTTAGCAAATGTCGACAGGTTTTTTGTCTTTGTGATCTCAATTTGCTATGGTTCCTTCCTACATTCCATATTAAGTATTTGCATATAATATGTTGGAGGCAGAAATTTAAAATCATATATTTCAAGAAATGACAC